ACTGCAGCAGTTCAAGAAGGCAGCTCAACACCAACTTCTCAAGGGTAACTAGGATGGGAAATAAATGCTGGCCACCCAGCAATGCCATGTCCAACGACTGAATTTTAAAAAGGTGCCATATCAAAGGTTATTGAGGAAAATGAAAGCTCATAGTCTAGGGAGGTAACTTATTGGCTTGCATATAAGATTGGCTAACTAATAAGAAATAATAGGTACCAATGATCATTTTCTAGTTGGCAAGATGTGATGAGAGATATGCCACTGCTTAACAACTTGCATAAATAACTTGGATGAAGGGACCAAAGGTACATTTTGCTAATGACACAAAGATAGGTAGGAAAGTAAATTGTGAAGAGACTGTGAGGAAGCTACAAAAGAATACAGGTTAAAACTAAAAGAGCTGTGGATACTGTAAATCAAAAACAAAAGCAGAAATTGCTGGAAAAGCTCAGCAGGTCTGGCAGCATCTGTGAAGAGAAATCAGAGTTAACATTTTGGGTCCAGTGACCCTTGCTCTGAAGTTCTGAGGAAGTTTTACTGAACTTTTCCAGCAATTTCTGTGAAAGGGATACAGGTAGTTGGTGAGTGGACAAAGATCAGCCAAATAGGGTATAATCTGGGAATATGTAAAGTAATCCATTTTGGCAAGAAGAATAAAGAAATTAAGCCTATTATCTAAATGGTGAGAGATTGCAGATGACTGAAATATAGAGGGATCCAGATGCCTAAGTGCATGAATCGCAGAAGGCACAGCACGTGATTAGGAAAGCCAATAGAATGTTGTTGTTGGTTGCAAGGGAACTAGAATACAAACATGGGGAGGTGTGATAAAGGTTCATACATTGTTATTATTTGGTAACTTGAGCTCTGATGTGAACAGAACCACATACAGCTTTAAGTTTGATTTGTATTTCTATATTGTGGGGGTTAAGAAAGGGAGACATAAGGTGAAATTTTTCCAGGCTCTAAATGATTATGGGCAATTTGCAAGTCAGTTGGGACAGTATGTTGAGAATAGAAAAATTAGATTGTCAACATCAAGATGAAAGGTCAGATATTCCACCTAAGGTTTTAGCAGTTAAACAAGAATCTTATTAGTGAATGTCAGATGCACAGGATGTGTGCAATGTAACCTGTATGCCTGTCTAAATCTTTTTGATCTGTACATCCTTACTTATTATGATCTGCTTGTACTGCTCGTAAACAAAGCTTTTCAGTGTATTTCGGTACACATGACAATAAATCAATCAATCAAACGTACATTAATATCTCATTATTTATCTCATCTCACATTGAGTATAGGAGTTGGGATATCATGTTGTGGCTGTACAAAACATTGGGTTAGTCCATTTTTGGAATACTGCTTTCAATTCTGGTCTCCTTTCTATAAACTTGAAAGCGTTCAGAAAATGTTTACAAGGATGTTGCCGGTTTTGGAAGGTTTGAGCTATAGGGAGAGGTTGAATAGGCTGGGACTGTTTTCCCTGGAGCATCAGAGGCCGAGGGGTGACCTTTATCGAGGTTTATAAAATCATGAGGGGCATAGATAGGATAAATAGGCAAGGTCTTTTCCTAGGGGTGAGGGAGTCCAAAACTAGAGAGTGTAGGTTTAAGGTGAAAGGGGAAAGATTTAAAAGGAACCTGAGGGACAACTTTTTCACACAGAATGGTACGTGTATGGAATGAGCTGCCAGAGAAAGTGGTGGAGACTGATACAATTACAACATTTAAAAGGCATCTGGATGGGTACATGAATAGGAAGGTTTTAGAGGGATATGAGCCAAATGCTGGCAAATGGGAGTAGATTTATATTCGGACACCTGGTTGACATGGACAAGTTGGACCGAAGGATCTGTTTCCTTACTGTATAACTCTGACTCTATGACCTCTTTTGTATGCAATTTGCTATTTTCCCAGGCAGTGGAGACAGAAGCAATTCCTGACATGAAAGTCTGAATAAGTACCTGGTGGCTGCAGCCCACAAGTGTCTTCTCCATGCAGCCATCTTGTCCATAATTCCCGACATTTCAGGGTATGCTCCATGGGCAGTGACCATTTGTACCCATCATCCACACAGATTAGCATCATACTTGGACCAGCCTCACCACAGTATCATGGTACACCTCCAGCTCACTTACAATACAGTTCACCTTTTCAGTACTGTACTTTGGAGCTCACTGACCCTTTACATTGCAGTGCTTCTGCTTTACAAGCAAGGGCAGGCAGCCATCTCGTACATCAGACCACTGTGCAGGTCAGGTCTCCTAATTTGCTGTCTTAGCAGTCACTCATTTTCCATCTCTACCATGTGCACATTGGTGCCTCATTCAGAACTTTCAGCCTCACTTCTATCTTGCCTTACCTCTTAGTACAGTCAGAAAGCCAGGCAGCTTGTTATGTGTGCCAACAATCACAGTCGAGACAGAGGACAAATTGCAGGAGCTACTCACTTCACCTTGTACTATAAATATGAACATTGTTATCTTATATGCACTGATAAAGTAGTGTTGGAGGGGAATATTCTCATTCTCCCTACGAACAGCACTTGCTGTCTCTTGCTGTATGAATGCCAAATGGCTTGTACAGCATACATCTGATTCAGACCAACAATTGTAATGGTCCATGTAGAGGCTTCCCATTTCTCTCCTTCTCAGAAGCGTCCATGTCTTAGTATTTTGAGGATTGAGTTTAAATGTAATTTGTGTGTGCTGCAACTGTTGACTGTTCATATTACTGAGGAACTGCTTTGTTTCTGGCATTGCCGACGTAGGCTCATTGGAACTGTAAAAATGGATCCAAGCACAGAAGTTGCTGTCATCTGTGTCTGTGTCTACTGCACAAAGAGAATCCACAGAAATTGATGGGAAATATATGCATCTTGATGCCCAATCTCCAGCAGATGTGGAGCAGCCTCCTAGTGTGGAGTTTACAGCCAATGATGCCCACATGATGTGGTAAAAGTGCAGGAGACCCAGAGTTACTTGTCTTTCCTGGAATGATGTGCAGATGAGAGAGCTAATGACACTCCCAATGTGTATAGAGGTGGCAGTCAGAACGCTATGTCATGATGTTCATCATATGTGTATTGCAACATGTTCCACTGGAAACAAGGACCATAAGATGTCTCTTCAACATTGGATTCCCACATTGGTCAGAGCTGACAGTTCATTGCATTACAGGCAGAAGACTATGCATAATCCTTGGCTGCTTTTGGCCAGACAGCTGGAGGATGCAACAACATTATAAGTATTTTCTAATCAACCTGTTTAGAGATACCATTACACACCTCAGGAGCAGGTGTAACTTGAACCCGGGCCTCCTGGCTTAAAAGTAGGGACACAACTACCACACCACCCGAGCCCCTTGGGGGAGATGATGGCCTAGTGGTATTATTGCTGGACTGTTAATCTAGATCCCCAGATAATGTTCTGGGGACCTGGATTCGGGAATCCCGCCTCAACAAAGGGTGGAATTTGAATTAAAATATCTGGAATTAAGAATCTAATGATGACCATGAATCCATCATCAGTTGTTGGGAAAAACCCATCTGGTTCACTAATGTCCTTTAGGGAAGGAAACTGCCATCTTTACCTGGTCTGGCCTACATGTGACTCCAGACCCACAGCAATGTGGTTGACTCTGAACTGCCCTCTGGGCAATTAGGGATGGGCAGTAAATGCTGCCTGGCCAGTGACGCTCTCATCCTGTTAACGAATTTAAAAAAAACCAAGGTTATATGATGGACAATGAGGATCCATAAGAGCCTCAGCATTGCATCAATTAGGAAAATGGGCACTTTCATCAGAAGGAGCAGCACCTTCACCATCACCATCCTACAGTACAGCATGTCAGCCAGTGCAATACAGGCAGGACTTCTTTGCCATCACTTTCAATAGGACTGGGTTGCATTAAGTCATCTCCCACTAACTAGATGATTTGATGTTGCAGACACTAGCATTTTCAGTTTAACCATAACTCCAAATACAACATTTTTTTTTATTTGCTTTTCCTGTTGTTCAGTAAAGTTAAGATTACAAACTGATTGATTAAAGCCCTCTCAACATTTGATGCCACTCATTCAATTATGACAAAGTTTCATGCTAATATATGCAGTACAGAAGACAGCTTACCCTTCAGACTGAGTTAAAACATCATGTGGCGTTAAGGATGGCTAGCCTTTCTAGCTTCATTCTTATAGTTACAATTAAACTGACAGTTACTGACACAGCTGATGATGCAAAGTTTCACCTTTGACACCTATGCATCCTCAGAAGGTTTTCTTTTTCTTTTTGTTCTCACTACACCTTGGGGGGATCCTGGGGTCTGCAGCTAAGGTGGAGGGAGCCTTGCCTATCTTGAATCCCATTGGCCTTGGGAGTTTTGGGCGGGTGAAACCAGGATCATTTGTAGCTAGAGGCTGTGTTTCCTAGCCATATTGAGGCTTACTGTCCTTTACCTTGAATCCCACAGGTGGAGATTGCAGCGGGGTGGAGGTGCATTGGTCGGGTACCTCTGGAGAGTGCTGAGTGGAGAATTCTGGGGGCCTGAGAGTGGTTCCTCTTCTGTATAAATTCCTGAACCACCAACCTGTCTCCTTATGAGAAAGGACATCTGGAATGAGGTCCAGGTCGCATGTTCCCCTGTTGCCTTGTCATTGGTGCCAAGCACCAATGGCTGAGGTGATGGAGTGAATGTCTGTGCACATATCTGTCAGACAGTGAGAGTGCTGAAGCCTTGTTTTCCAGCTACTAATCTATACGTACAGACAGCTACTCACCTGCCACAGTTAGCATGGTACAGATTGCATTTGTGGGCTCCCTCAATCTTCAATCCGGTGTCTTAAGCGTGTCTGACAGACGTGACTGCTGCTCCTGTGTTTAATTCATCAGAATGTACAAGCTATTAATGGCCAACAACGTGGGTACTCTCCTGTCTGGGCCTATCCGGCAGTCCTCCAAGTTCTGGAGAGACCTGGTACGTTTCTTCGGCCAGCTATAGTAATGTACTCACCAGAATGTGCTACCAAATCTAATTTAGCTAAAATATCCCCTGAGGTATTTGAATTGATGAATGGTATGTGAGACAGGTTGCTGGTGCTTACTCTGAAGGATTTATGACACATCCTCAGAGGTGGAGGAGATGTACTCAAGCCGGGTTTCACTCTGAAATCGAGGATTGCCATTAGCAGAAATCCTAACAGAAATTGTACTTCCACTTCATAATATATTGGTGAGACCACATCTAGAATAATGTATACAGTACAAGTGTCCTATTTAATAAGAATGTAAATGCATTGGAAGCAGTTGAGTGGAGATTGACTAGACTAATGTCTGGAAGAGGTTAATTTATGAGGAGGGGTTGGACAAGCTAGAATTGTATCTGTTGAGATTAGAAACATAAGAGTCAACTTGATTGAAACATATAAGGCCCTGATAGGGTGCATATGGAAAGAATATTGCCCTGTGTGGGAGAAACCAGAACTAGGGATCACAATTTAAAAATGAGGGGTCACCCATTTAATATGCATGCGTTTTTTTTTCTCTCAAGAGGGTCGTGAGACTTTGAAACTCTGTCTTCTTTTAAAGGCAGTAGAAGCATGATGTTTGAATAGTTTTTTGATAAAGAATGGGAATGAAAGTTTATTATGACTAGACAGGAATGTTGCATAATCAGATCAACCATGATCTTATTGAATGGCAGAGCAGGCTTAATATGCTGAGTGGCCTACTCCTGCTCCTAATTTTTATGTTCATATGTAACTAGAAATATTGTATCGATTACTTTGATTGAGTAGCAAAATACTAATCAGGGGTACAGAATTTAGAGCTGCTCATTTATGCAGAGCAACTTGTCAGTTTTCCAGATTACAATTAAAATTTACTTTTTCTGCCTGCAGCCTCAGTGAATGGACGGAAGGACAAATCCCTGAGAGTAATGAGTCAGAAATTTGTCATGTTGTTCCTGGTATCGAAACCCCGAGTGGTTAGTCTCGACACTGCTGCTAAAATTCTAATTGGTGATGACCAGAAAGTAGATCTGGATCACAGCAAGTTTAAGAGTAAGTGGAGCACTTTAAAATGGCAAAAGAACATCACCTGTAAATCTCATTTCAGTGCAAATATTAATTCTTCATTTCTCCTTGTACAGACTTGTACTTGTTGTGTCAAATGGCAGTTCTTCAGTTTGCCATTAGAGGACATGTAACAGTAGTTTGCTTTTCTTTTAAAAAAAGAACTTCCCTAATTAAGCTCCTCTCCACTTCCAATTTTGGATGTTTTACTTTGGAAGGCTAAAGAAATTATACAGTTATTGAGATACACTTCATCTCCTTTCTACAAAGTGTTCCAAGAAATACCTTGAAGGTGAGCATTGTAAAGATTGACCTTAGCTGCTTTGGGCAGAATTTAATGCCCTCCTTTCTCATGTTTGGTGGCAGAACAGCATTTATTCAGGTGGGAATGTGGCAGATAGCGACCCTGCTACCTTCTCCAATTGAGTCAGTGATAGGAAGGCCTGTAGATGGCCATCTTCTCATGCCACAGATTGAGCCCATCTGAACAACTCTTCTGCCAGCATTCCCTGTGCTCTGGGATCCAGTAAAGACAGTAAGTCTCAGGTAGGAGTTGTACTTGCAGCACCCACTGTCTTCCTGATGGTGTTGCCAGCCATTAATTGGCTGGCAGCTATCAATAGGTTGGATTTGCACCTTTAAAATCTTTTGATCCTGCCATGGTCCACTCAATTCAGTGGGCTTTCCCTAAAAACTTGACGTTCCTGCCAGCTCTCCAAGTGACAGCTGAGACCTCAAACATCTTCAGTAAATGCTATCCTTTGAATGTTGGTACCAAAGGAGATGGAAAGATTAAACTCTATTTTGAAAACGATAGCTCTTTTTCAAAATCCTATTGACTTGGTCCCAAATGTTTCCTCATTGCCTGAGGATGTTTATTGTTTTCTGAGGTACAAGGCTGCAAGGTGCCTTCAAAAGCTGCTCCCCAAAATCCTTATTTGATGTGTGTTAGTGTTGGCAAGCTACTTGACTGTGGTTGGGGCCACAGATTAACATGAGCTATTTGACCATGTGCATGAGCTTGGGCCTATTTGTAGGATTAATTTGGCTATGCCAATCCTGGAGAGAGATGCAAAGACAACACACTTTCAGCTTTCATCTATCCATAATCTTTGGACAAAGAGGTTCTGCTGGACATAGTGAATAAAAAATAATTTGAGGAATAATAGGTTTAGACAACTGTTAGTTCTGTTGCTTTCCATGTTACTGTCTTCAAGTTTACTTACAGTAAATAAGTTGTTCTTGATTATTGTAATATGCATATTTTGTTTGTGCATGTACAGATAAATATTAATCTTGTATGGTGAGGAGCTTGTTATAGATGTTTCTAAGTTAGCTATATTAATGAATAAAATTTGGGCTTTATGTTTGATTCTTGCCAACTAACCGAGTAACTCTCACTGAGCAGATCTTACATGCCAGGTAGTATGTGAATAATTCTAATATAGCTTTGATGTATAGCCTTTGTTTATGCACAAGTCTTTGATTTAAGTCAAACTGGAATCTTTGACAAAATTATTTTATTGGCCCTTGAACGGCAAGGAATTAATACTTTCTATTTTATTGATAAATAAAAATAGTTAACTAGTATGTAAACATTATCAGCATTTGCAGTTCTTTCAGTTTTTATTAAACATTATCAGAATTCAGTTGCTAGACTTCTGAAAAGTAAAATTTTCACTGTCTGCTAATCTACTTAACTTTTATCCCACAGCTAAAATCAGACGACTCTATGATATCGCTAATGTTCTCACCAGCCTTGAACTTATAAAGAAAGTACATGTAACGGAGGTGAGAGGGCGGAAGCCAGCATTTAAATGGATTGGACCAGAGGCATTCCCAGACCTAATTGGTATACATTTTTTTTAGATTAACATTCTATTTCCTTGGTTCTTATAATTTTGCCCTTTTTCTCAGAAAATGAATTTGATATAATCAACAAATTAAACTTTTACCATGAAGGAAACTATTATTGTTGCAGACATAAAACCCATTACTCTGACTACCTCAGCTGCACCTAATACTCAATTGTCAAAGATTTCAAAAGAAACGTTTGCCAAGAATCTATTCCCTGCATCGAACACTAAACAAGGCTTCACCCGCCATGCATCTTTGAACCACTTATTAGAAAATCTGGAGAATAACCAGAGGAAGATCAGCTCTGCACCAACCAGCCCAGTTGGCAAAGTTTACGGTATGTATTTCAGAATAACTAATTTATTACGTAATTACACAATTTATGGTTGATTTCTTAAGTATACTTTTGAATTGATGCCATTAATTTTTTGTCTACCTGTTGTCTAACAAAAGTTAGTTCATGCTAAATTAGTTTAACAAATACAAAATTATACAAATAGTTTACTGAAAAGCTTTTTGTTGCTAAGCTTTTAATGCATATTCAGTCAGATTTCAAAGTTTAACCTTGGGGTTATCTTGCTTCAGCTAAAATAAGTGATGTAAAAACTACCAGGAGATTCATTGAAATGAAGTGATTCCTGGTCTTAATTTATAAAGAATTGTGCATTTTTGGGTTCACCATTTTAATAATTTTCAACATTTAGGACAGAAAACAGAATATGAATAAATGTGCCATTTTCAGGTTGGCAGGTTATAACTATTTGGGTACTGCAAGGATCAGAAATTGAACCTCAGCTGTTGCAGTTTACATCAATGATTTGGATGAGGCAAGTGTCAATATGGCTTCGAACAACCTTCAAACCACTGATTCCATGCAATCTCTATGGAAGGAAATCCAACCAGTTTAGTGCTCCTACTATATTCCCACAACCCCGTAAATTTATTTCATTCAAATGGCCCATTTAGTTTCCTTTAGAAATAATTAATCATCTCCACTTCCAGCATCCAAGCAGACTGTGAGTCCCAAATCAGTACAACTTGTTGCATGTTTGAAAAAATATTCTTCCTTGTGCACCACCTCCCCATCCCATTTCTTGCCAAAATTTGAAATATGTGTTATCTTGTTCTTGTACTATCAACTAATCGGAACAGCTTTTCTAACTCTACCTTATCAAAGCTTGCCATAAGCTTGTATACCTCAAGCAAATTTTTCGTCAACCTTCTTTGCTCCAACAAAATTCCAGCTTCTCCAACCTAACCTTGGAGTTACTTTCCTAATTTCTAGAACTATTTTGGTAGATCTCCTATGAACCCTTTTGTCCTTCCTAAAATGCAGTGACCAGAACTGGATGGAATACTCGAAATGTGATCTAACCAGAGCCTTATGCAGGATTGGCATAACCTCCTGCTTTTGTAACTACATACCTCTATTTATGAAACACGACGCTGCAAGTTTTTGTTAAGTTTCCTAATACGTCCTGCTACCTTCAAACATTTTTGCACATAAACTTCCCAGATCCCTCTGCCCCGTGCACTGTACTATTTAGTATTTATTTATTCTCCCTAATTCTTCTGCCAAAGTGCATCACCTAACATTTCTTGTACATGTCCTGTTGCAATTGATTGGTATCATCCTCACTGCCAGTTGCACCTCCTAATACAGAATCATCAACAAAAATATTTTTAAAAAGTGGCTCTAGCATTGACATTTGGGGCACACAACTGCCTAGCACGTCCAATTAAAAACAAAACAGCCAATTACCACGACACCTATTTTCTATCTTTAAGCAATTTTTTTTTTGTTTTTTTTTAATCCAAGATGTGACCCTCCTATTTGAGTCTTAATTTTGTTAACCAACTAATTATGTGGTTTTTCAACAAAGGTTTTTTAAAAATTCATTGCTTTGCCAGTATCAAGCCTATCAATGAGATTAGTTAAATGCAGTCCTCTTTTTACGTTCCCTTTTTCTCACCAGCCCAACAATAAAGAAATGACAACTTTTCAAGAAATGACTGATTCTACTAACAAATGCATTATGTCAGTGTTATTTAATCATGCGGTTTTACAGAATTTTTTTTTCTATGAAAGGTGATTCGTCTAAAGCTGGGTTATATCCAAGTAAAATGGACCAGCTTGCTACAATCTGTAAACTTCAGTTGGAAGCACAATCTAAGTAAGTGCCAGAAATTGAACATTTGCACCTGTCTGACTGGACTTTCAAATGTTATTATATACAGAGAATTTTGTGCAACATGTCTATACAAAGTGTTTAAAAATAACTTAAATCTAAGACATAATTGAAGTCAAGTTTCATTTGAATTGTACAATATGAAAGTTTTTTTTTAATATCTATTGTGAATGGGCACATTTATTTTAACATTTGTATTTTTCTTTCCCTCAGCCTGAATGCCAGTAAACTCGTAACCTCACCATTAAAACCATCTTCCTCACAAGAGAAATCAAAAATTGATCATCCTCCTGGACTTGTAGAACCAGCACAATTTACTGGAGTTAATTCAACCATATTCCCTCAGGTTAAACCAACATTGCAGCCTCTTGGGGTCTTTCCTTTGATGCACGGACAATATTCTTCTGTTTTACCAATGATGTTACCTCAAAGCCAGTCTGGTGGATCTTATACAATTTATTTACAACCTTCACAGCCAAGAAACCTGACTGCACATCCATCTAGCTTTGCACAGTCTATATCCTTGGCCACCGAGCAACAAATTGTAAATACTAATGACTCAAAGTCAAGGAACCACACCAATAAACGGACTGCTGAAACTTGTGCTGATGTGCCAGAAACACATATTGACATCCAGAATAGTAAAGCAGCCAAACATGATAATATTCCTGACTGGTGCCTGAAGCAACCCTGTACTTGTGACCTCAGTGATGTTCTGCAGTCCAAAGCAGCAAATAAACCCGTTGAGAGCCAACAAACAAAGGATGCTGATTCATTCAAGGTATGGTAACTTGAAAATATATATATGAATTTCTCAAATTGTCTGTTCATGGTGATTTCATTCAAGTAACAGTTGAATGTAATAACCATCATCTAACTGATGTCTACTTCTGTAAGTTGCAGTGGTAATTTGGGCCTTCTTTCACCACAATGCCCCATCCCCTTAATAGTATACTAAGTGCCATGCAAAACAAGTGCACTTCCTGGCTTAAGGCAAAGCAGTCTCAGAATATTTTGGGTTTTTCCTTGTTGACTAGATTCTTGACCATTGTGTTTCTGTTGTGTGAGTAGAGTGAACAGTGATTGAGGATCATAGAGAGCTTGTCCTGGATGTCTCTAGGTTGAAACAAAATAGCTGGCAACATTCATTGTCAAAGTTCATGTGAACAATAGTGGCTTGAGCAAGATATCTGAGCTGCTATTTATAAGATCTTCCAAAATGAAAACTGGTCTTATTTCCAACGCCACCTCAACTCATTCTCCCTGTCCCCACAACCATCCACCAGCAATTATAATTGGAGAGTAACACAACATTGAACAATACTTGTTACTTGGTTGCTGGGAGATGTGGTTTCTGTATCCCCCTCAATAGAGTTTCCAGTCTTTGCAGACCAGCACCAAGATTTTTTTCTCACAGTGGGGTCTGGAGATGAATATACAGTGCCCTGATCCATTCTGGATCTTTCAGCCCTGCAAAGGATCATTTTTTCCATAATGAGAGAAAGGGTAGGATTGAGTAAGATGAAAGTGGGTGGCACAGCTATTAGTGTTGGTACATGGGGGGGGGATGGTGGTGGGATAACCCGTTAGGTGGCTCTGAGGGCATGCGGAGTTAGTGGACATGAGGGTGGCACGAGAGTGAAAAGCAAATGGGGGAAGATGTTGCATGTAGTAGTGATTGTGGTAGAGCATGAGCCTTGGTGGGAGGTGGGTGCCGTAGCACAGATATAGAGTATGAGGTAGTAGGTAGAAGATGGTGGCACCTACCATGGTAGTGCAGAAAAAGTCGTTGACCTTCTTCCTAGATTGTTGGGTATTTCTCCACACCATGGACACCACACTGACCAGTGTGGCAATGCCAAACCACGCTGGCAGATTCTGGTGTTGTGGCCTCTTCTGCTGGTCGTGAAGGAAGACAATGTACCTCCTCTGCACCATCAGATCCACTAAGACCTCTAAGGCCCTTCTCGTTAAGTGGGATGCTAATTTCCCCTTGCCTAGAAAAATGTCTACAAATGTACAGGGCAGCTCCGGACAGCCAGACCCTGACCCAGTGCACAATGGCCTTTTAAATATTGTGTGGTAGCATAGATGCCAGAATATCTAAACAGTGACAAGTACTTCTGACTCTGGAAAGTGAAAGAATCGGGCTAGCATGAGACAATGGAAACATGATAAGTCCTTAATGACGTGAGTTTGGCTGATAGTACAAGAAAATTTGCTGAGCTTCCTGCAGGAAATTCCAGGAATGAAATAACATTTTGCCAAAATATGGTAAGATTTGGCTCTGTATATTTTTCAATAATTTGACATGGAGAATTTAAAACTTTCCATTTATGGACAAATAGCTGATAGTGGTATAATAAATATATTGGTGCTGGTTGGTTTTTACGTTAAGTTGGCTGTCAGTTTCAGTTTGGAGATTGCATTGTGCATTTGGTTTTCGATTGTTTGTTGATAAATCTGTAAATGGAGAAAAGTTTCCTTCTGTGTATTTTTCATGACCACCAAACCACTTTACAACCAATGCATTGCTTTTGAAATACTGTCGCTGTTGTAATGCAGGAAGCATGGCACCCATTTGTGCACAACAAACTCCCACAAACAGCAGTGATAGTGAACTGAATTTTTATTGTGATGTTGAATATTTCTAATGCACCTTGATGTCAAAATTAAGGCAGTTTTACTATAATTGATGCCTGACTTTGCAGCTTGCACAAAACATAATATTTTGGATTTGTGTTTTTATGCTTAGTACAGAACCTAAACCAGAGAACAGAAAAATTTGACATTCCCTTCATTTTGTCTTGAAGGGCTCTTCAGCAAACAAAGATGAGCTTTTTGAGATTCATCAGGCGAGGCTAAAGGCTCGCAGAAGCCTCATAACTAATCGGGTTTCCCCAAGGGCTTTGCATCTTGACCCAGAGTTCATCAATGCCCCAGAAGACAAGAGTCTTGGCTGTGAAAAACTAGAGCACAGTGTTGAATGTTACCTTGAGAATGAAGAGAAGAGTGGGATTATTGTGTCAGAAGGAAAAGCCGCCACAGTGAAAGCTGTTCCAGTGGCAATTGCATTTCCTGCCCTTCATTCTGTTTCTGAGGTGAGATCTTGACTTTGCGAATTGATATTTGCAATTAGCAAAATGAACTTTCAGCCAACAAGCTGGAATTAGATTTCTGCTGCAATGATTAGTTTTTGTTTTGTTGGAAAAATCCGTGCACTTTATTACTACATGATTTCATTTTTCTTTTAAATTGTGATTGATTGTCCCCATATAATTATTTGTTTGAATTTGCTTCCAGACTGTAATGCCATCAGGATACCTCATCCCATTGCCACAGCAAGCATCTTTCAATAATTCAAGGAATGGGTCTCCTGAAATGAAAAATAAATGTGTCCCCTCACCAGAACATCAGCTTTATCATTCACCATTATCAGGTTTGTGAGTAAACCTTCATGTTCAAAAGATTCAAACTGTGTAATGCTTGTAAGAACTTCTTTCGTTAGTGGAAGTCGAGAATGAAGATTGTACTTTTCATTATTGGCACAATCATTCTGCTGGGGGAACAAAAATATCTTTATAACTGCCACACAAATCCATAGACAAGCATCCTTTGATATTCTGTTACCACTTGCTGTTACTTTCTCAGAACAGCTGCTGAGGTAGAGTCTTATTAGTGTTAAAATTCAATTAAAGTTCCTCAGTACACAATTATAGCCTTCAGTCTTGGTACAAATTTCTTTTTTTTTATTCCTTTATCTTGCACTTCAACTCCTTCTCACAACTTTTCAGCTCTCTTGCAAAACTGTTTTGTGGCAGTTCCTTAAAGCCAGATAAATTGAGCTTTTCACTAGGAGGAGTGAAAGGAGAGGATGGATGGAGATTGTATTGCTCACTGTTCAGCTTGTTGTTCAGATAGTTTTGGTTCAAGTAATACATCAATATATATTGTTTGTTTTCCAGTAGTAGAAATAAAAATAATTTTTTGCTTTACCAATGAGTTATTAAAGTGTTCCCTCTCCTTGTAGGTATTGCATCAATGACTACTTCAGAGTATTCACCAGCTAATTTCTCTGCTACACATGTAACCCCTCTGAAATTGCCTTATCCAGTGGCAGTAGCTTCTTCTGTTGCTTCTCTTCCTATCGCAAGCCAAGCCAACGTCACATCCCTCACTTCTTCAGGTCATCACTTTCCTATTCACAGTCCCAGCCCAGGAATTCTGAATTTCACACTGCAGAATCTTGGCTTGATCAACCCTGGTGTGCACTTTTCAGTGAGTCAAGGGCCTACAATGACAACTGCTCCTCCAGAACAAGCTAGTCCTCTCACAGGAAACATCAATCTACAACAAGGAAAAATGATTTTTGTTAAACCAGTTTCTCCTCAGCATCAGCTGAATGGACAACCTGTAGCATTGATTAGCATACAACAGGTAAGCTAAGATACTAAACTGCAATGAACATATTCAAATATTTTATGCTATAAGGCTTCATTAATCTTGCAGCAAGGAATGCATGAACTGCACCTTGCAGAATCCATACTATAACTAACTGATGCTTAGTTTGATTCTAGATGTATGCAGATACGTTCCTTGACTGAGATTGTAAGGAAAATGTTAATATTTCCAGCATGCATGGGGAGAAAGAAAAATCCAAAATTTCTCCTTTCCAACTTGACTTGATGGAAAGAATGCATAAATAGTAGATTTTGCTCTATTTTCTAATTTTCAATTTTGGCCAATCCTTGTTATTGAAATAACATACTATTACTGAGCATGGTAAAATATAAGCCTCTTAAATCACAAGCTTCTAGATTCAAGTGCCACTCCAGGCTGAGCACAAAAATCAGTGTTGATGTCCCTGTGTAATCTTGAGGAAGCACTGCACTATTGGCTGTGCTGTCTTTTGGATGAGTTATTAAACCAAGATCCCATTTGTCTGCTCTGGTGGATAGTACTTCTTTCAAAGAATAGCAGTGGCATTATCCCCAGTGTTCTGACCAATATTGATCCCTCGATCAACATCATATAAAACAGGTTGTCTGGTCATTATCACGTTGTTGTTAACAGGGATTTGCTGAATGCTAATTAGCGGCTGCATTTCCAACATTACAATGGTGACTGTATTTCATAAGTATCGACTGTAAAATGGTTTTGAAACATCCAGTAGTCATGGAAAGTGTTATATAAATGTAACTTTCCTTTTGTTTTCACTGCCTAAACCCAAACAGGAATAATTACTATATCTGGCCATCTCTCACCGTATGGTACATCTTGAGTTACCCAAGAACTGACAATAGATATCAATCAAGGGTGCGTCCCCTATCTTTGCCTCCTCTTTTTCCATGCCTATATAACAAACTTCAAATAACATAGATAATTGAGATGAACAAACTTTAAGCAGATCACTGATACAAACTGTTCAGTCATTCATTTCTGTATCAACAAGTATATTTACCCATTGAGTCATCATGGAAGCTAGACAATGGGTTTCTGGTTATTGCAGATTGATAATATAAACACATTCTGTGCCTTTGATGCACATCAGAGTATCATCCTTTATATTTGGGTGAAAGCAGATGTAAAGTTTCCAGATAATGTACATTTCTAAGTGAGTGTTATCAATCTGCCAGAATTCTTTCATAAAAGCAAAATACTGCAGATATTGGAAATCTGAAATAAAAACAAAGTACTGGCGAAACTCAGCAGGTCTGGCAACATTTGTGGAGACAGAAACAGAATTAATGTTTTCAGTCATTGAAAGAGTCAAAGAAGAGTCATATTGGAATCAAAATATTAGCATTTTTGAAATTTCACTCACAATGTGGGTATTACTGACTGGCCATCATTTATTGCCAATACATAATTGTCCTTGAGAAGGCGGTGGTGAGCTACCTTCTTGAACTGCTGCGGTCCATTTTGCCATTAGGGAAGGAGTTTCAAAACTTGTACTCTGAGACACTGAAAAAATAGCAATGCATTTCCAAGTCTGTACGGTGAGTGGCTTGGAGGAAAACTTGCTGCTGATGGTGTTCCTGTCCATCTGCTGCCCTTGTCCTTCTAGATGATAATGGTCATGGGTTTGGAAGGTGCTGTCTAAGGAGCCATGGTGAATATCTGTAGTGGATCCTGTTGATGGTGAACTTGAGTGGTGAATGGAGTGAATGCTTATGGATGTGGTGCCAGTCAAGCAGGCTGCTTTATTCTGGATGGTGTCAAGCTTTTGCATGTTGTTGGAGCTGCACTCAACCAGGCAAGTGATGAATTCCATCACACTAATGATTTGTCTTGTAGTTGGTGGACAGCCTATGGGGAGTCAGGAGGTGAGTTACTCACTGCAAGTTTCCTAGCCTCTGACTTGCTCTTGTAGCCACGTTACTTATATAACTAGTCCAGTTCAGTTTTTGGTCAACGGTAACTACAGGGATATTGATAGTAATGGTAAAGGTCAAAAATCACAACACCAGGTTATAGTCCAACAGGTATATTTGAAAACAAACGTTTTTGGAACCTCACTCCTTCAGGTGTTAGTGAGAGAGATGGCATCAGACACAGAATTTACAAGTAAAAGAAAAAAGGGTCACACAGCTGATGAGGATGTATTAAACAAACCCAAGATGCTGTTAAATCTTTAAATCAGTTAGAAGGTTCTAATTGATTAATATGTAGATGTGAATCCCTGAATTTCTTTCAAATCACTGCCCTGAGAGAACTAAAGGTTTTATCAGTGTAAAATGGAAGTGACATTTTAGGTCAGACAATGCCTGTTAGGTGTAAGGCCTTGTTTAGAATCTATTGTGTTTTGGAGTCAGGCTGATTTTATGTCTAAAGTAGGAATTTATAAAATGCCACATTGACTTAATGTCTATAAATTGTGTGCTTTTTGAACAAAATAATGTATCTGCAAATACAAATTCACCCCATAGATTTACATGTGTGAGAGTGGGGGTGGGGGGGGAGGAGGTGTGTGTGGGTTGGAAGAGAGACTGTGTGTGTGTGTGTGTGTGTGTGTGTGTGTGTGTGTGTGTGTCTATATAAGGTTGGGGGGGGGGAGAGAGAGAGACAGAGACAGACAGAGTCACTGTCTCTCTTCCCTCCTCCCACCCCACACCTATGTAAATCTATGGAGTGAATTTGTATTTGCAGATACATTATTTTGTTCAAAAAGCACACAATTTATAGACATTAAGTCAGTGTGGCATTTTATAAATTCCTACTTTAGAAATAAAATCAGCCTGACTCCAAAACACAACAGATTCTAAACAAGGCCTTACACCTAACAGGCATTGTCTGACCTAAAATGTCACTTTCATTTTACACTGATAAAACCTTTAGTTCTCTCAGGGCAGTGATTTGAAAGAAATTCAGGGATTCACATCTACATATTAATCAATTAGAACCTTCTAACTGATTTAAAGATTTAACAGCATCTTGGGTTTGTTTAATACATCCTCGTCAGCTGTATGACCCTATAATCTTTTACTTGTAAATTCTATGTCTGATGCCACTTCTGTCACTAACACCTGAAGGAGCAAAGCTCTGAAAGCTTGTGTTTTCAAATAAATCTGTTGGACTGTAACCTGGTGTCATGTGATTCCTAACCTTGTCCACCCCAGTCCAATACTGGCACCTCCACATAATTATGGTAGTGATGGCATACAGTAATGGTGATATCATTCAATGCCAAGGGGCTACGGTTAGATTAGTTCTCGCTGGAGAAGCTCATTGTCTAGTATATGTGTAATGCAAATATTACTTGCTACTTGTCAACCTAAGCCTGGATATTGTCTAGGTCTTGCTGCATTTGGTAATGGGCTATTTCAGTATCTAAGGAATTGTGAATGGTGCTGAACATTGTGCAGTTATCATGATGGAAGGAAGGTCATTGATGAAGCAACTGAAGATATTTAGGCTAAGGTCAGTACTCTGAGAAACTGCTGTAGAGATCTGGTACTAAGGTGACTGAACTCCACACACCAAAACCATTCTTCTTCGTGCATGGTATGACTCCAACCATCGGTGAATTTTTCCCCTGATTCCCATTGACTCCAGTTTTGCGTGAGCTCTTCGATGTCACAATTGGACAAATGCAGTTTTGATGTCAGGGGCAGTCACTCTTACCTCACCACCTGTTTCTGTCTCAACAAATGTGCCAGACTTGCTGAGTTTCTCCAGCACTTTCTGTTTTTATTGCTATGTTTCTGTTATTTTAACAACTTGTGCATCCATTCAATAGGATTTTCTTTCCTTTCGGTATTCTCCTGACCACCCACTTTGACATCAGAAACTCTGTGTACACTGTAAAAGTTACAAGAGTTTCAATTGGATGAAGTCCCAAGAAAATTTCCAGGCTTTGTGCTTTGCATGAAGCAACAACTTAGTTCAGCACGTAGCTGTATTTCAGTTGACTTAATAGAGTTCTTTCAAATTACGGTCGGTTCTGATATAATGCGATAGTTCCATTCTCGTGTTATAAGAAAATCGTGCAATAACTGCACCATTTAAACTAACAGAGCCAGAACCGCATCACAGCCGGTACAGGTAAGGAAAGTTCACATTCTATAAATAGTAGTCTGAATTCTTCAATTGCGTTAAAACAGATTTGCGTTGAAGAAACACATGTTATAGCAGAACCAACTGTATGATAGAGTTGAGTGAAGTAGACTTCTAGACGATGTATTCACTTATTATTCATCCAGAGAGTAGATTGAATATGGAACGTGCTGCCACAAGGAGCAGTTGGACTAAAGATGCAAGAGAAAAGAATAGAGGTTATGGTAAGGTTAGTTAAAACAGGTGGGAGAGGATTTGGACTAAAAACGTCTTTCCATGTCATTAGATCTTCTGGAAACAGCATCCATTTTAATCACAACATGCATCGTTTACCAAACTGTGAAGTATGTAGGTTCTTTTCCTGTGAGCTACTAGAAATACTAACTTCAGGAATTACTCTTGTACTGTACAGTATCTTAATGCTGTTTAGTTGGTTCTTTCTGTTGTATTATGGACACTCACTCCAGTTCTGTGCAAACATCTTGAGCTCATCACATTGAAAATTGGAGCTTACTGACAATCCTATTCTAAGTATGCAACAGTCATGAAGTATATCCTTAGCTGTGGATGAAACAAATGATAATGTGCAATTGCTTTTAACTAGTTGCTAATGATCTCTTGCATATTGCAGCCTAGTGTGCCAGCTACACCCGAGGGTGCTCAGTCGGTCAACAGAGAGAGCTTTTTCCGTACTCCAGGAGGTCCATCATCAGCTTCCATCCCATCATCAGTACCTGCTGTCATCACCAACAGCAATAACAAAAGTCCTGCAGGAAACTTGCCCCTTCCTCAACGAAAGCTTGAGGTTTGCACTGAAGATTTTCAATGACTGTGGAATGGCTGGTAAATCCAGAATGGTCTACAAGATTTTTAATGTATTGCTAGGTTATGAACAAATCTTGGGGTACATTCTAAATATGTAACGCATAATTTGCGTTTAATCCTATGATTTTTTAAAAAATGTTATCTGGCAGCGCATATTGCTCTAATGGATTCTTTTGAAGTTTACATTGTACCAATGTGATGTTAACATAGCCATAATTTACAAAACTGTGATCTTCTGCTTAAGCAGAATAATAATTCAATACAGAACCATATTCATATAAGTACTATGGTTAAATATGGCTAGAATTACAAACTACAAGGAATATTTACTTTGCACATTAAACAAGTGAAACAGTAGAATGTATACCATCCTACCTAGAGTTAGTTTACTGTTTATGTATATAAATGGTACAACCATTGTACACATCAGCTGCAAATTAACACTGGATGACATTTATGGCATGCATTGGGGATGATATCCCCAACACAGAAATATATGTACTGTAAAGTCAGCTCATTCTCCATTTAAGAAAACAATATATTAGATGGCCATTGTTACTAAACAAAATTGGTCAACACAAATTTAAGATGGCATAGAACAACTTGAACTGGATGTAAAATTACCGGAAAATTGTCAGTTTGAAATTGAGTATGTGCATAGTACCAGAATAATCCATTGGGGAAATACATAAAAGTACTGTATCTTGTGCATATTGTGTTGTATTTATGTATAACATTAAAGCATTAACTTTAAATCGAACTAAAGTTCAAATTGATATGCTGATCCAATTTTAGCTGTCACTGTCTCTTGTAAAACCAATCTGAACAACTACTGTGAGCTATAGATTGTTCTAGGTTTCTCATGATTTCTGAGCGTTTCACAATTAAATATTAAAATGTGGAAGCCCTAGTAAAGAGGTAGTGATTTTTGTTAGTCCAATCAAGTTTCTGTCCAGCTATTTGAATTTATTTATATTGTCATGCGGTTCTGTACAGTGACTAGTTCAGAATAAATATGTACAGTTAGATTTCCATATGTTGAACTGCTTCCAAACAATTTGATTTTTACAGTATAATGGATTGTGTTTGTGTGTTCATGCAATTTTATTCTCAAGATGAGTTATAAAGCAAAATAGTTAGCTGTCTGCTTATTTCCCTGGATGGCAGTGAAGACACAGCAGTCCACTGGCACTGGTGCAGTAAACTGAGTCTCAGAAAACTTTAATTCTTGCCTCTGCATAGTGCAGTGATACTTAATAACATCTTACTTAAAAAGTTAAATTTTCACAGAATAATAATGAATGGATGATTTATTGTCACATATCTAGGAGAGACAGTGAAAAGTGTTCTGTTGCCACAGTTTGGCACCATTTTGAGATACAAAAGAATAAAAAGAAAGTACTAAAATAGAGTTCATCTCCATCCAACGGGGTCTCAAAACACGACTCCAGGACTTATGCGAGGTCTCTACACCAGGCCTACTACAGCCAGTGTCATCACTCCACTATTGCTGCTGCCGATGCCTCGCCACCAATTCCAGGAATCCGTGGATTGAGCCTACGAAGCCAGGCGTTTCCCCCTCCAGTGACTACCAACACTGCTGCGGACCCCCTGTGACATAGAGAAGGTGAAGTAAAGAAGAAAGAAAAGGAAAAAAGACAAAGAGAGAGGGAAAAAATGCAGCCAGCCAGCTGGTGTCATTTTCTTGAAAAGCTGGGCCTGCTCTCCCTGCCACACCACTGGGCCTGCATGCTCTCGTCCACGCTCCTCACCCTACTTTCACCCCACCCCCATGCCATGGGACCCACTGTCTCACGTGTTCAGGAGGCTGTGCCCACTCTCATCCACCCAAGTGCACCGAAAAAGGCGATAAAAGAAACAAAAGAGAAAGAGAGAAAAAATGAATGCTGCACTGCCATTCCAGATATGGCAGCACAATGGTACATAGTTGGAAGTAAATTGCCTTGGGAGTCCTCAAAGTTAATTCCAGATCCAATGAAGCCTCATGGCAATCAAGTCAAAGATGGAAATGGCTGATTACCACCTACTGCAAATCTTCCTGTTCCCCCTCCCTGCCCTCAGTTAATCTGTACTCTTTTCATGTTGAACACTATTTGAAGCATGCAGTCAGGGTCGCAAGGTCACAGAATGTACTTGCGGACTTCAATATCCATCACCAAGAGTGGCTTGGCAGTACCACTGCTGACCAAGTTGACCAGGTCCAAAAAGATATCACTGCCAGACTGAGTCTGTAGCAGACAATGAGGGAACCAACTAGAGGGGAAATTTGCTTGAACTCATCCTCAACAACCAACCTATCATAAATATATCTGTCCATTACAATCTTAGTAAGAGTGACCACCACACAGTCCTTATAGAGACAAAGTCCCTTTTGAGAAAACAGAAAACCCTTTGTCATGTTGTGTGGCACACCACCATGTTAAATGAGATACTTCAAATAGATTTAACAATACAGAACTGATCATCAATGAGATGCTGTAGGCTATCAGGAACAGAACTATATTTGACTTCCAAGATTTTACAGTGTGCCATAACTTATTGTGTAACTGACTTGAATATTACAATGGTAGGCAGAGTATGAGAAAGCTAATGTAAATGTTTACTAGTCCTGAGTGGTTACAACATGCATTCCTGGTATAAGTATGTTTCCACAAGTTTTGCAGAGTTTATCATGACAAGTACAAAATAAATAATACTTAATAAAAACAGTGATTTTTGGTCGATCTACTTCGGGACACAAGATCGTGAAACTGATTGACTGACTGGGCGCATGTCTTTTGTTCTCTTCTGATGACTGAAGTTCTATTTTTAATCCTGTCTTGTGCACCGAGCCAGAAAGAATCAGCATTTATTAACCCTAGGTAGCAACTGCCCCCCACCCCGTGTGTGATCAAATACCTCCTAACCTCTTAATTGGCTTGCCAATGCATGGGCAGCACATGATCAATCTCAGATTGGCCAAACAAGAGAGACCAAACTTCTAATTGTTTCTTTAAAAGTAATGGTCATCTTAGTGATATTGTTCCTCCTGACTCCAAATCAACATTCTCTGACAACTGGACAGTCACTGCAGTGCACAGATGTTGCAAATTTGCTCAGCAGGAACAAAAACTGGGGGAAATGTAATTCCTGATTCATTCTTTGGCAGGCCAATCATCTGAGATAACAAGGTGTAGAGCTGGATGAACATAGCAGGCCAAGCAGCATGAGAGGAGCAGGAAAGCTGACGTTTCGGGTCTGGACCCTTCTTCAGAAA